AAACACACTGCTAGTTACAGGTAGCACACTGCAGCAGGTGTTACATCCACATTATTCTTGGTGTCAGGTCATCCCCTTGTTTACTAATTCAGCAAGGGCACTGAGGAGAGCAGTTCCTGTACTCTGACAATAAATCCACTCAGTCTTGTCTTGTATTAGCTGCAGAGAACAGCCAGTTCAGTGGTATGATACGAAAACGTAAAGGCAGTTAGGATCCACGTGGCGCAGAAATACCTTTTACTCTGAACGCAATGCTTCGGCTCTTCCCTTGCATTTGAGATAATTTGAGGACTGTTTAGTGCCAACCATCCTTCTAGAGTTTTAAATAGATTGCTAAATGCACACTTTAGTGTTGAATATTTTAATTTTTCGGAAATTTACTTTGAGATGCAAAGTGCAGTTCATGAGGCAGGTAAGGAATTAATAAGCAAATAAAATTTCCATGTGTCCCCGACCTTGCCTAGGTGGTAAACTTAGCTTGTTCAGAGGTTCTACTAAGTCCTCATCAGGAAATAGTCGGAATTTACGTTTAGATTGACGGCACAGTTCCATACCCCATGCTTCAGGATGCTTTCATTCATTGAAGGCTCTATATCTAAAAGAAATTACAGCAGTGGGGCTGACGAGTTGTCACCTGCACAGTAGCTGGCAACACTGAGTTTCCTTAAACAGGGAAAATCTCCCTTCTCTGCCTCTCAATCCAATGTTAGGGTTTAATTAAACAATTAGTCTGTCTCCCTTTCACTGTTCTTTCAGATTCTGTTTTATACTTATTCATCTGAAGTCTCTCTTGTGGAAGTCAGGGGTTATAATCATAAACAACTTGCAAGAACGCAAAGATGTCATCCTCCTTCTTTCTTTCAGAAATGATGTACAAGCTCAAAAGAAAATGGCAAAATCTTTCCAGGTTTCTCCCTATGACTCTCACCTCCTGCGAGGGTCCCCACCCTCTTACCTCATGGCTGATCTCGGGCCCTGTTCAGTACTTGTAACTACTCTAGTGGTTGGGGGCACTGGAAAACTGAGCCAACAGGAGAACGGGACTGATGTCTTATGCATTAGCCACCTTTATACAGATCCTAGGTCAGTTTATGCTCTGAAGGTTAAGAAATGTCACCCGAGTAATGTTCTCATGAATTCAAGCACTGTACAATGAAAAGAATACAAACCTATGTGGCAGAAACATGTTTTCCTACAGAAGCATATAAAGCATACTATAAACTTTTAAATGAACAACTAGAAGCAATAATGAGTGATCACACTCCTATCTCCTACACCCCAGAGTAGCAGGAAACACAAGAACGCACTTGAGAACCTAAGAAATGAATTATCATATCTTCTCAAGAACAAGTATGTAATCTGAAGAAGCTGAGATCACAAGACTCTTGTGTTTTAGAAGTGTTCTCATAAGCACTCACAATTCTCACGTGATTCCACTACAGGACACGTTCCCAACAATACACATGAATTATTTTTATTTTCTAAAAATATAACATATACGTTTTTATATATACATATATTTTAAAATGTGGAGTCCAAAGTGGTGGGATATCTCTCTCTCTCTCTCTCCCTCTCCCCCTCTCTCCCTCTCTCTCTCTCTCTCTCTCTCTCTCTCTCTCTCTCTCTCTTTCTTTTCACATTTGCACCCTGGTGTACCCAAAACACCAGAAGAATGTATGAGAACTTCTATACCTGTAATTACAGTACTTCTGAGCCATCTGCTGTTGGTGCTAGGAAATACAGCTGAGCACACAACAGAAGCAGTCCTACAGAGTTAACATTTCCAGATGCTGAATAAGTCACTATACAGCAGAAAATGTAGATGCCCCAGTACTCCCTCTGTTGTCTATCATTTGCAGATGAAAGGTCCTCATACATGGTCGTTGACAAAGTGCATGGATACCTCTCTCTCTGTGAATGAACTCTCAAATTACTTTTCAGTGTCATTTTGACACAGGTTTTTTTTTTTTTTTTTTTTTTTTATGAGCGTGAAGTCAACAAAAGATTTCGTTGAGTAGAGATGACTTCAGATTATACTTAGGAAAAGATTGTTAATGGTAGATTATACTAGAAAAAGATTCATAATTGGTTGTAGGGGTACTATGTTCTTTATGTCTGGGATATTTGTTGTTTGTGTTAGTGGTGATAGTGGGTTCATTGGTTTTGGCTTCTCTGAATTTTTGTTAGATTGTGGTTTGTCTGAGACAAGGTCTCTATGTCATTCTGGAAAGCAATCTGTGGTCCATCCTGGCCTCAAACTCAGAGAAATCCATTTGCCTCTGTCTCTGAAGTGCTGGGATTACAGGCATGCACTTCTACACCCAACTGAGGTATTTTTATAATAACCTATCTTTGAATCAGAGAATGAAAGAATAATGTAAGATTTATACACAAGCCATTATTCTTTTGATGAACAGAAACACTCTTTGGAATATGTATTAATAACTGATAAATCACTTCTTATGTTCTCAATATCTGGGTATTCTCTTTGCTTTCTTAATTTCATGTTTAATAATTTTTGCCTAGGTACATACACCTGTGTTAGGGTGTGCATGTGTCAGTCAGAAGCCAACTTACACATGTCTATTCATATTTCCTCTTGGTAAGTTTGACCCACATAGTCAAGTTTTGCAGCAAGTATCTTCAGTTGATGAGTGAACTCAGTGGTACTTATTCAAGCTTCAAAAATATTTATGTATGTGTTGCTGTACGGGTGTGCATATATCATAGCACAAATATAGTAATGAGAGAAAAACTTGTATGAGTAATGTTTGTCTCCCACAGAATAAACTCAGATCATCAAGCTTAGAGAATTGTCCTTTACCCACAGTGACAATTCTCTGCCATTCCTTTGTGTTTCTTAGAAAATGTTAAGAACAAGTATTAATTAAGAATAAACTAACATAACCCATAAAAACAATGGCAGTATATAATTGTCATTTGCAAATAGGCTTTTTGGGTTTTTGTTTTTTGTTTTGTTTTGGTTTTGGGGTTTTTGTTTGTTTGTTTGTTTGTTTTGTTTTGTTTTTTTGAGACCAGGTTTCTCTGTGTAGCCCTGGCTGTCCCGGAACTTACTCTGTAGACCAGGCTGGCCTCGAACTCAGAGAGCTGCCTGCCTCTGCCTTCCAAGTGCTGGGATTAAAGGTGTGCAGCACCACTGCCCAGCTGGCAAATAGGTTTTATTATTCAAATTATTGTGGTCTTCTATTCTTGGGTGACAATTTGTATAGAGCATGAAAACAGGACAATATTTTATGGTTGAAATAGTTCTGTAATCTTATATGAGCACCAGAAAATGGTTCAGTGGGAAAAAGGGTTTGGTGTGCAAGGCTTTACTGCATTTATTATATTCATAGTGTTTCTCTCCAGGAAGAATGTTTTTATTTCCAGTCTCTGAAGAAGATAGTAACATTCAAAGGCATTATCACACTGATTATATTCCTAAGGTTTTTCCCCAGCATGAGTACTTGGATGTGTTTCTTCACTTTTACTGAAGTGACAAAACTTAACTGCAGCAATTACATCCATAGGGTTTCTATCCAGTATGAAATTTCTCATGATTATAAAGACTAGTGTGATATGC